AGTTTTTGTTTTTTATTTCTATTGTAGGTTACATTGAATGAATGGTTGGTTATTTTAAAAAAACATTATTCCTTAAAACAACAAGAAAGTAAAGTTTTTGTTTTTTATTTTTATTGTAGGTTACATTGAATGAATGGTTGGTTATTTTAAAAAAACATTATTCCTTAAAACAACAAGAAAGTAAAGTTTTTGTTTTTTTTTTTTATTGTAGGTTACATTGAATGAATGGTTGGTTATTTTAAAAAAACATTATTCCTTAAAACAACAAGAAAGTAAAGTTTTTGTTTTTTATTTCTATTGTAGGTTACATTGAATGAATGGTTGGTTATTTTAAAAAAAACATTATTCCTGAAAACAACAAGAAAGTAAAGTTTTTAATATCTTCAATGTTTGTTGGCGAAGTTAGGCCAGGTGTGCCCTAGTGTGTAGGAAAAAGTGGGGGAAAATTTATGAAAATCGTAAATTTCCTCAAAGTGGAAAATGGCCGGATTGTAAGAAGTTCAAAAAGCCCCGAAATGAAAGAGCATATTTCATTCTTGACAATTATAAAATATATCTCTGTAGGGTTTGCAGACTTTATTCAAGTTGCCTTGCAATGATGGAGTCGAAAAGGTTTAAAGGGTGTCGTTATGAATTGGATAAAGGTTTCTAGAAATTATGTATTTTGTCGCTTTAAGCAAATTCTTTAAACATTTCAATGTAAATCTTTTTAAGAGCTAAACAAATATCACCAAGATTTTGCTGTTTAATGTTTCAGTTTTAAGTTGATACAAAACTAAAAAAAATTCTATACCGAAAATTTGTTTAATAGTAATGATCATATTTTGAATAAATTTTTTAATTATTAAGACAAAAAATATCAAAATTGCAAAAGATATTTACTTCCAGTTCCTTTTCCTGTTTTTCGATATTTCATTTATATAAGTTGTTCTGTTTTATAAGTTTAAAAATCTATATTTTCCTGTAATAAATCTTCCAAGTTTTAATTTCTGGTAAAAATTCTTTTTCCTAAAATTTTGCTCATGCTGCAGTTTGGTGTTTTTCATTTTTATAAAAAGGAGAAAATGTAGAATTTTTGCAAAAAATGTCGTTGAAGCAATTTTGTAATGAAAAGAATGTTATTACTTTAGGTCACAAAGCAGAATACACTGCGACATTCCTCATATAAAAGCTTTCATACTTTCTACCAACCTTCATACTCCTATAAAGGGTGTCACTATAAACATACTCCTATACAGGGTGTCACTATAAACATACTCCTATACAGGGTGTCACTATAAACATGTAAATTAAAGACGACACAAATAATGAAATAATGAATTAGTTGTTAAAACAGCATGAAATATAGAAACATCGATCATAGATTAATAACAATACAGACATAACACTAAATGTCGTCTTTTCAATAATTTGGGGTTTTTGTTTACAATAACCCTGAGGCAGAAGCCCAAAGGAGTTCTGCGCAGGCAGAGTTGAATTACAAGAAAGAGGGAGAGCATGGACGTAACTCCTTTGGGCCTCTGCCTCAGGGTAAAGTGAACGAAAAACCCCAAAATCATGAAGAAAAGACGACATCTAGTGTTCTAACTGTATTGTTATTAATCTTAGATCTGAATGCTAAACGTATAGATAATTACAAGATCTTAAACCAAACTAAGAACATTCCCGTGGTTCTACCGAGTTTCCTTTATCAACAGATTATGGAAATCAGTCAAGAACATCATGAGTTATGATCGGACAAACAAATTACTAATTTATTTATATATAAATATATATCATACCATGAGACAAGTATATTGTTTAATTTGTACAAAGCTTACAGAAAACAGTACATACACAATACACAATACATAGCTAACACAGAAAATAGCTTACAGAACACAATACAAAATATACACTACTGTAGCTACAGTATAAAGTATACTCACGATACAATATACAGTACATAACTTACTCAGTTTAAAGTACATAACTTACCTTACACAATTTAAAAATCTAAGTATATAGTAAATGGTTCAAATATCGTACATAGCTTACAGTACGAAGTACACAATACACAGAACACAGTTTATAGCTTAAAGGACACAGTACACAGTTCACAGAACTATGCAAGCATGTGAAAGTACAATTTCTTGTTTATTTTCTTGTCTGCTGTAAAGTTTGTTGTATTTCTCGTAGAATGATGACCCTGGGTTCTGTGGTGACAAACAACTGAATTAAATTACAAGAATTAAAGAAACTTGTTAAAAGTTTAGCAAAGTTTCCCGTCCAGCATTCATCTAGTTACAAGTATATAACCATGCTAGAACAGACAAAGAGAGAGGAAAAACACAGATTAAAGAGAATGTAATGGTTTTATCAATTGATCTTCCAATTAAAGAGTAGTAAGCTTTATTATATGCAATACGGTGCCTCCTTTAAACCTTTATATGATCAATAATGTGGAAGATATCATCGTTTACTAGCTTGCGGAATGTTGAATTTCAGTAATTACCTCCGTTGTTTCTAAAGTAGAAATGCACAAGTCACTTTTATAGAGAACCCACAATTGAAAATGATCACATATTTGTCAGAAAAATTAGAATATCTTATTCATTCATAATCACACAAATGTTTTAAGGGTACCTTAGTAAATCGGACTGAACATATGAAAAGACAAAAGTATTTCTCTGTATAGAAATAATAGAATAATATTAGTGTAAATTCAATCATATAATTATAGCTCGGTATCAACCTAACCCCTCTTTTACTTTTTCCACCCTTTAACTCTGCAGCAAAAGTTTTAAAAGTTCAACCATTATTTGAACAGAAGCCAGGGATAGTGTAGTGAATAAATATAAAACTTTCAAGATAATGTTTTATTTTATAGATTACATCTTTTGCCTTCTAAATGCACTTCCCTCATTAACCCATGGATCTGAAAACTAATGTTTTAAATAAAAAATATTTTATCTTGATTTAGGTTCAACCAAATAGAAAATCCACCCCCCTTCCCCCCACAACTACAAATATTTAAAACCTATCTTAAAGAATTTGCATCAAACTCAAATTTTCAACTTCTTATTTCTTTGCAACCTGGAAGTGTTAACATTTGATATTTCAACCTTAGATTATTTGATCTATAAAAATGCATAGTTTAAAATATCAAAAGTCTTCAACATTGGGTTGCAAAAATATAAAGGGATTAGAAAATCAGAGTTTGTGGGTAAAGGCTGAATTCCTTTGTTTTTAACTTCAAAAAAGTTATTCTCAGTTTTGATAATTATATACGTAGAACCTAAAGAGTGATGACGGTGTGAATCCTATAATTGGTACTTTTTAAATTGTGGATTCCATCTCCACTGAATCCTAATATATCTTCGGTCCAGTGTACTGCAGAACTCAACGAAAGCTCAGTTGAGGGTGGATGGGTTTAAATTAAAAATAAATCCATTAAAAAAAACTAATAAAACAAAGAAAACAAACTGTTGCGTATGTTTAAAAAAGTTGGCGGTTGATATTTTTTTCACAGAGACCAATATATCAAGTTAAAAATTTCATTTTGATTAATTCCTATTTTCAAATTTCATTTCTTTTGAGAATTGAACTTAAAGGAATGTTTGAAATAAGGAAAATTTAAATATTTAAAAAATTTTAACTTTGAAATGTTAACTGTTGATTGACATATTATTCTGAAACGAGAGAAAGTATTTAAAAAATTTGAAGAAAATAATGAATACAGAGTGTTTAAACCCTATAATGCTGGGGGTATAAATCTATGAATAGCCTGGAGGGGCCGGGCGCCCCCCCCCCCCCATAGAAAAAGGCCTTAAAGTAAAGGCATTGGGTTGAAATGCATATCCATATTAATAGCCCAAATTTTTCAAGGCCAGCTTATAGAACAAATAAGACCGATAACTTTTAAAGTTTTTTGTGCTAGTGAGGGTAAAATAATGCCTTAAAAAGGGTCAACAAATTGTTTAGGGTTAATCTACATGGTCAGTTATGGACAAATTGATATTGTCTTTTCTGAGATTTCTATTGCGGCATTCAAGCTCTGATATTTTATTTAATGAGTACTTTATTTTTCTAGTGACAAATATGTTTTTTTTGCGAATTACAACAAAAGATCTGGACACTATTTAATGTGTTACATTTAGCATTACTTTCTATTTCTATACATACTTACCAGCTTGCAAATCTTGCCTTTCTTATTTCTAAAAAATATAAATTTTAGAATTTTAAGCGTGATAATTTTGTTTTCTTTGCAGATTTATTAACAAAGATTGAACATGTTTGCTGATTTTCTTTGGTAAAGGAATTTGCCACAAACTCAATTTTTTAATCACCATATCTTTTTAACCTGATGGTTTATACCATTTATATTTTAAACTTTCATTATTTGATCTCAAAGAATTCAAAGTTTGAAATAGCTAAGGTCTAAGACACTAGGTTGCAAAGATGTAGGTTTTAGAACATCAGAGTTTGTGGCAAAGACTCAATTCATATGCAAAAAAAAATTGTTGAACAAAATTTACCAATAAAGTTTATAACTTTATGCAATCTTTTTTCTTTTATGCAAATGTCAAATTTAAAAAAAAGAAGATTTACAAGATTATAATACAAAAAATAAGAGAATACAATATGCCTACAGTTCAAACGTGTAGAGTTCACACATCTTTTGAAATTAAGGATAAAGGTGTCGCCTGCGCGCTGGTCAGTTGGGTCCCCAGCTCTACCTGGGATTCTACCTGTCTTTGTGACGTAATTAGACCTTGTAAACTGACCAGCTAGCCAGTTTTAGCGACGGGTCAACACGGAATTTAGACTATTTAACAAAATGTATAAATCTAAAGAATTCACTAATTCCCCTGGACATAATCCAGCCATGAAATCTAAATGACAGCTTGCCACTATTATTTACACATTTAACAATGCTAAAAAATATTTGCATATTTAAAAGAATATTTTAAAAATGCGGTTTTTTCTGATTTCCTACTTTTACTTTTGAATGATTAACGATAACAAGAGTTACTATTTCTAAAACTGCGCAAAGGAATTGAGTCTTTGCCACAAACTCGGATTTTTAAATCCCAATTTCTTCAAAACCAAATGTCGTAGACGGTAAATATTTCAAACTATGAATTCAGGTGATCAAACAATGTAAGTTTGAAATATGAAAGGTATGCATCATCTGGTTATTGAGATTTAGGTAATATAAAATTGGCATTTGTGGCAAAAACTCAATTCCTTTAAACAGAAAACCAAATACGAATTTAAGAAAAATGTCAGCTTGATGGGTTTTATTTTAGGGCATATTTTTATGTAGAGATAACAAAAAATAAGTAAATGTTTGGGTTCAGGTCCCATGGTATCCGCCTGGGGAGATGTTGATAGCGATGGAGACGGTATAAGGTAGGTTTCCGAAGTATAGTGCCTGTACTGTGTTTTCGTAGATTCCTCTAAACAGTTTTGTGATGTTATACTTGGTAGATTCCTTCAATACAATGTGCTGTTACTCAGTAGATTCCTGTACTATAATGGGATATAGATTCCTGAACTGTATTTAGCTTTTATGTCGAAAAATGCATTTCTTTCAACTTTCCTGTTAAAGGGACAGTAAGCGGAATTTCAATCGAACCTCCGTTCAAAGTTAGTTGCTATGCTTGTAGTTTTAAAAAAAATTATTTTTTAATTGTTGTTTTTCCTAAAAAAAATGACTTGCACATTATTAATGCAGAAAAAAATGTATGTTTTATCAGAACCAATCACTTTTAAAAACGACAATATATATATTCCAGATTTTAAATCTTTTAGATCTGCAACAGGTTTCAAAGGTACCAATGTTAAACAGGCATTGTCATCTTAGCAGGAAGGGTAAATTGAAATATCGCAAACAGTCCCTTTAAATTGAAATATCGGTTACAGTTCCTTTAAATTGAAATATCGCTAACAGTTCCTTTGAATTAAAATATCGCTAACAGTTCCTTTAAATTGAAATATCGCTAACAGTCCCTTTAAATTGAAATATCGCTACCAGTCCCTTTAAATTGAAATATCGCTAGCATTTCCTTTAAGTCCCAGAAAACACAATTTAGAGACTTAATATAATGTGGTAATACTTCCTGTAACACAAATAAAATAGATTTCTTCATTCTTAAATTGTTAATGTTTTATTTAAACAGAATTAAAATTCCTAAAGCTGCCTGCACCAGCCCACTGCCTGACTTGCACATTTAGTAGATTAGTTTCTCAAAATTTTAAATTGATTACTTCATAATAAAATAGGCCTTCGCAATTTAAGGGACTGTGGTTGAATTTTGAAGTGAACCTACTTTTAAAAAGAAAAATAGCATTAACGATTCACAACAGTACCCTTAAAACTTAAATCTGATTTTTTTGCAAAGAAAAACATGGATATCTTACTCATTTTTTAACTGATAATTCTTTAAAAGGTATATCGTTATTAATCACTTGATATTAAGTTTTAGCAAAAATTTAAATTAAACTAAATTCTATTAAAAAGTTTTGAACATTCATGTTTTCGCAAGGGGGGACTGTCAGAGGGGGAACGGCCGGTTTTATATTAATAAAATACTTTGATGTTTTAATTCACAAGGTTATAATTTATTCAAATACTATTTGAGAGTGGTTTTCTCTTTTTGATACAGGGTGTCTCACGAAACATGACAGTTGTGAATAGTTTAGAATGTCTTCTTCCAATGATAAATTGATTGACACCAAAGTTATATTATAGTTAAATTTATTTCAAAGTAAAATATATTTGAGCAACAGAGTTTTTAACGAAATAAACTGCAAAAAACCTTTAACACTATATGTAAGACGACATTTAAAACTATTTATCAACTCTGATAATTCGTGGGACACCCTATATATTTACAGAATATGGTTACTTAAAGCGACGGTTCACCTAACTTTCATTGCCTGTACGATTCCCAACGGGATCCCCTTTATGGCTGTGGACGGCACCGTCAATTTAATTCATTCGACTAATTCTTTACAAATTTATTTTTAACATAACTTGCTAACAAAACGTTTAGCAACTGATCCTGTGATGCAGAAACTCTTTAAAAGATATTAGAATTCTTCTCCAAAAATTGGTATTCTTAATTCTTAAGTTTGTTCAAACAAAACAATATTAAAAGTAAAATTTAGTTTTTATTTTACGTTGTAATTATGGTTGTAATAAATTTAAAACGGATGTAATATATGTATTGGCGAAACTAGATTACAATTTAGAAACTATTANATTATAAACAAAAAAACATTGCATTAAATCTCTTTGGAATCTTTGATAAACTTATTTTATAATTATTTTAGTTTTTTATTAATAATTTTACATAATTTTTTTTTCTTTATAACTAGTTTTCTTTATCTTTTCCTATTGTACAAATTTGAATGCTTACAAAGTAGGCTGTACATGAACTGTACATAAGGAAATATAAATGTAAAGCACCGTGTATATTGTAGATAATTAATTACAAACATGTACGGCTTTCGTGATACCTGCACATTGTACATAAGTTAATACAGATTTTTGCGAGGCCTTGCTGTACAGTACATAATCGAATAAACACGCATGCACGCCACAAAATTTCACAATTTTTCATAAATCTTAAAAAACATCTTCAGCTTTCCCTTAACAAAAAATTCGTTTGTAAATGTTGTATAAAGAGTTAATAGTCAAGTTTTCTGCAGTGTAGATTAATTTTAGTAATGATGTTGATACAGATGATGATGGGGATAATATAAGGTGTTTTTGCCCCTAGTCTCCTATAAGTATTTTTCCCCGTTCTCCTTTTTACAACATTTTTTACCAGAGCTGGAAACTATAGAATGGTGGATACCAGGATTAATGCTTAATCCTCTCTTTTTTCTAATCTCGAGACTAACATAATCTCGAGATTATGATAGTCTTCAGATTAAATATTTAGATCAACAAATTGGATTCTAAGAATGCCAGATTGCAGTTCGGTTTCTTGACTGAAAGGGCCCTTACTTAATTTCTCACCCATTTATTTATTAATACATTAGTTACAAATGGTTACAAAAGAATCTTAAACCTGTTATTAAATATTTGTCTTCACCGATTTATTTACAAAATGGCCGACAACAAATTCATTCTTTGTTAGAAATTGCGGATTTCTCTTATGGGATAGAATTTATTTTTAAGGCTGTTATTGGTCAATACAATTTACGAACTATATTCCTGCACTCTTAATGGAGAAAATAATGTACGGATATCCAAAGAAAGAGAAAAAGAGTGGATTAGGGACTAAAATTAAAAGTTTCCACAGTGGATATTCGGATTAAGTAGTTAGGTTTAAAGGATCCAATCTAAAGCTCCCAGCTCAGAGCTGAAAACTTTAAAATGGTGTATATCGAGATGCTTTAGCTTCCTCTCTTTTTCTTAATATCGAGACTAACCAAATCTTGTACTTGTATCCTAAAAAGTGTATAAAATTCAAGCAATTAGAGTGGCGTATATGAAGCCGATAAATTTGAAATTTTGCGCGCCATTTAAGATTAATATACAGAAATGGGAGGAACTCTTTAATTTTAAAACCGGTTTTTGATTTTTCTCTACTACATCCAATAAAGAACGGTTTAAGAAAAAAAGGAAAATTGTGTTCATTGGATACTCAGATTGAGTAATCGGGATTAAGGATATCTCATTCTAAAGTTTTCAGCTCTGTTTTCCCCTATTGTATTCCTTAAAGTTTTACCTTTTACTTGTTGCTTTTTCTCTTAGAATTTTAATAAAAGAAATTATTTCTAAATAATGCGATATTTTGTAGATGGAATTTTTTCTTTTGGGGAATTTGGCTATTTCAACATTTTTCAGAGGCCAAGAATTTGAAATCTTAGTCCCTGTGATTTTTTTAATATAACTAAATTAAAGAATTGATTTTACGGTTAAGCAAAAAGCTTAAATTTTTATATTGAAAATCTTTCAAGAATAAAACATTTTTTATCTGTAGAAACTTTGCAAATATTAAATTGCAAAATGTTTGATCGCCAAGAATTCTATTCCTTTAGGCGGGCTGTTCGAGGGAGGGAACCCCCACACGCCATAAGCCTCCGCTATGCAGACATGAGCCTCCCAGATTTTCTAGGCAGACTGAGCCTCAGACTTGCAGTAAGAGCCTCCGCTATACAGAATAGTTTCTTAAAACTTTTGGTTTTAACATGAGTAAAGAATTTTATTGAATGTTTTCGACATATAAAATGTTTATCAAAGATCAGAGTTATTGATCAATTATTATAAATAGTGACTAATTATGGCTAGTAAAATTTTTTTATAAAACTTTAAACATTTTTTACGAAAAAAGGAAAACATTAAGTGAAAAAATTCTGATATTTAATAATCTTTGATTTAAGTGATACCTTTTCTTGAAATTTCTATAAAATTAAGATAACCAAAAATTTGTCATTGACAGTTAATCTTAATTTAAAAAAAACGTTTAATTCAGAAATGAATTTCCTCACTGCGTAAGAAATGTTTTATTGAAAAACAAAAATTTTATAAACCACTTTATAAGTCAACATACGTTACAAATAGTGACAATCAATAAACAACACTAAGTAAAATTTGTGCCACATTGTTAATATAAATAGCGGAGGCTTGAATACTGCGTAGCGGAGGTTCTAATTGCATAACGGAGGCTCGGTCTACCTAGCAAATCTTGGAGGCTCGAGTGTCTGCATGGCTGAGGCTTGTGGCGTCCGGGGGTTCCCTCCCTCGCTGTGCTTGAGTTCCAGCTTAAATATGTTTAAACTTTATGACTTTACTAACCTCATGACTAAGAGAAAATAATAATTTAGTTTTTGATTAGGGTAAGCGAATATGTAAAAGGCCAAATTTTAGAAAATTTTTTGATTTTACGTCAAAATTTAAATCTTTATTAAAAGAACATGCTAATCATTTTCGAATTTTTAGTTTTTTTGACAGAATGTAATATAAACCATCATATTTTGTATGATACGGCTTTCTGTTCATTTGATATTTTGATGACTATTTTACAAATAAACTTTTTGGAAAATAAAACTGTAGAAAGCCAAACCTTTTATTCAAATCATTTAACAATTTAATATTTATTACTAGATAAATTTTCCCCTTGATTTAAAGTTTGATTGTATATACTCATTAAAAATTAAATTTCTATATTTTTTCAGGAGAATATTTGACCATGAGTAGAAAAATTTGCACATTTTTAGTTTTTCTTAATTACACATCATTGATATTTAAAATTTTGCTAAATTGTTTGTGTCTTTTTAATGGCCTGGTCAATGGCTATTCCAAAATTTATATTTTATCTTTTTTTAGACAAAAAATCTAAAAAAATCTATTCTAAAAGTAAAGCATATAAGCTTTCCAATGGTGTATTATTTATCATATTTGGACATCAAACATGGGATTTAGAGGGAGGGGGGGGGGGCAATTTAATCCCCCCCCCTAGCGTATCCTGGTTATCAAGTACCCCAGCAGTGAAACCATATTCAAATTATTGCTGTTTTTTTCGACTATTATTAGTCCTACACTTATTGTTACCTAAATTTGTTGTTACTAACTTTTTACTCTGTTTTTGTGAACAATTAAAACATTCCTATAAATGTGTTTCTACACTTACTTGTGAGGTAAAAAGGTCTTCATGGAATATGGCCGTTAAAGCTGTATTTAACTTACCTAGAGCAACCCATAGATATTTCATTGAACCAATTTCGGAAAACCATCACTTAAAGACCATGCTGTGTTCGCGATTTGTATCAATCTTTCGCAGTTTACAGAAAAGTAACAAAATCGCTATCCGATTGCTTTCAAATGCTTTTCAGAACATTTAATGACATACTCTTGGCTAAAATATTTACAGCATTGCACAAGATTGTAATTGTTATCCCAGTGATCTAACAAAACTCTTGGCTAAAATATTTACAGCATTGCACAAGATTGTAATTGTTATCCCAGTGATCTAACAAAACTGTTTGTAAATGTTTAATTTAACTTTTACAGAAGTTTCTGATGAAAATTTGTGAAAATTAGTTTTTTTAAGGAATTGCTATCAGTTAGATCAAATGAAATTGAAATTCTCGGGTTTGAAAGGGATGCACTTTCACAAATAATTAAACAAAATTTGTGCTGTAACTTGTTTTATTTATTTTGGATTCTATATATATTTATGAATGTTTTGTAGTCATTATAATCTATTTTAAAATAATAATAAATGCGTTAATCTAAAAATTCGCCCCAAATTGTTTATTGTAAACTTTTTTTAAATAATTTAGAGTTTTTTGTACATTTTGCAATGAACTCTCTTCAAAAACTTAACATTTTTCTCTCTTTCTAAACCATTGAAAGCACAAAGCTTATTTTTTACTCATTCTGTGTCCGAATTTAATGAATTTGAGCCGCATCAAAAATCAGCATAAAACCGGTTTCAATTGAGCGCCGGCTTCAATCTTAAAATAATTAATACGATTTTAAGTGGAACCAACCATGTTTGAGCCGCGGCTTAAATTCAAGCCGCGGTTCAAATTCTTTTTTCCTCTGCAATTAACTAAAAAAGAAAATTAAAGAGAAGCTAAAGATAATACTTTACATTTTTGTTTTATTGTTTGTGTGTGTTCGTGAGTAAGTGTGTGTTCGTCTTGAACTATTCTGAAAATTAATGGATTCTGTTCTTCTGGTCGTTTTCTACCTTGAACCCACGGGAAATCTTTCCCTCAGAAGTCTCCATACCGAGGGGAGGAAGGCAAGCTAAACAAATGTCTCATCCACATTCATCTTATTTTCACGACATAAAACTTTTGGACTTAAAAAGATTGTTTTATATTCAAGTATTGGACACATAAAAGAATGGCAAGTAAGATGATTTTGAGGTGGCTCGGACGAGAAAATGAGGAGAATTTGACTCGGACGACAAATAGATGTGATTCGCCTTCCTCCCCTCCCATACCCTAGAGTGGACTAGGGGGGACAATCAAATAAAATATATTCATTTTGGTTCCTCCGACCAATTTGCAAAATCTCTTCATTTTATCATTTCAACATTTTAGTGACTGCAGAAGTAACATTAAGCCACCCTTCATTCCAATTCATAACAGTATCCTTAAAAGCTTTGTCTGACTAAAAAGAATGATAAATCCAATTTTTCTCGTTGAAAATTGATTATTTTCATTTTCTACAAATGGGACTTGCGGATTTCAGATCCAAAAAAATGTCCACTTAAATGTGAAACTAAATCTGGCAAAAAAATGATATTTTTTCTTCAATATTTTCCAATTAAATTATCGGTCAGCAAATGGAAGCCAATTATTCCCTGTTTAAGTTTTTAATGGTAACAATTTGAGTAACAAGACAAAATTCATAAAAGTTAAGCAAACGTTATAAATTCTAAATATATTTAGCGATGCCGATGATGATGATGATGATAATGACGGACTCCTGGACAATGAAGATGATGATGATGATGGTGATGGTATCCCTGATGACGAGGTAATGATAGAAATGTATGGTGAATCGCGCCGCATGTCGAACAATTTTAAATTGAAGAATCTGCTTTTGTTCACATTTATGATATTACGTTTTTTACAAAATATGAGCAATAAAATCAATTCCTTCTAGATTAACAAAAAATTTAGAAATTGCTACTTACTGGGACTTCTTAAGTGAACCCCCTTTACAAAGAGTTGCAGGTCTGATTCACAATAGTTTCATTTAATCCATTGTTTGATCTAAAATGACAAATTAATCCCTTTTTTCTCTCTGAGTATTAGTAATTTTTGATTTCGGCTCTTAAAAACGCCAATAACATTCATATTGTTAATGGGTTAACTGAAAGGTATCATTGTGAATTGCAGGCCCATTTCAATTATTATATTTCCAGGAGGATTACGATAATGATGGTGTAAAGAACGAAGATGATGAAGATGATGATGGTGACGGTATTCTTGACGGAGATGAAGATGATGATGGAGATGGTCTGGAGAATGATGAAGATCCTGATGATGATGGAGACGGTATCCTAGATGAGAACGACGAATTGTAAACAGTATTGCAGTACACAACATTGTTTTGTATTCATTGTTTGTTTGTTTATTTATGATTTAATTAAAATTAACCCTCATGGGGAAAAAATGGTGGAAGCTTGTAATAAAGCAAAAATTCAAATAAATTCGTTTTTCTAAAATTTTGTTATCTTTTACTTACGGCGAAAAAAAATTGCTGACTTTTGTTCACATTATTGAAAAAAAAACTATCAAAAAACTTAATGAGCTGAGGCCCAATATTCCCCCTCCCCCACGACTTTTTGATATTAAATGCAGAAAACAAAATTCAATCTCCATGAATAACTTATTTCATGGTTAAAAAAGTTTTAATAAAATAAAATCCAGTTTAAACTGGCAAAAAGGGTAGAATATTCCAAATTCAGTGGCTAATATTTTAATATCTAAAAAGTTGACTTTTCTATAAATTTTGTCAAGCTTTTTATCCTTGTTGCGCCTCCGCCTGATTGTATCTACTTAAAGAAACTTACAGGACACGCACCTCTGCCCCTTTAGTAAAAAAGTAAATTGAACATATATGAAGCATAAAGTCCTGACCGCGTCAACCTTGTTGCACCGGCTAGTCCTGTTGATTGTCCGTTTATTAACCCAATATCCGTGCGGTACAGAACAAACTGGGACCGGAAAGGTTGACCCAGCTCGGAATTTCAAATTTGCCACGGCTGCCTGTAAGGATAATGGATGTTTCCTTATTTCCGTTCTTCGCATAGAGTGTACACTGACACTATACAGTTTTCTTGTAGAAAAACAAAAATATATCTGTCGTTGATGATCTGATAAAGAACTAAAGGGTACCGTTGTAAATCAGACAAGCCAATTGAAATGACGTGATGCAGTTCCTTTTGAAAATTTAATGTTCTTGTTTTTTATTGGCCCTTCAGTTATCAAAAGGAAAAATAACTTTTTAGTTCATTTGATCTTATAAAGAATATAGAAAAAACAGTTCCTACTTATATCTTTTTTGGCTTCAAAGCGTTCATTTTGACGCCAGTACAAGCCAAATATATAGATAGAGGAAGAAAGGATATGTTAGGTTGAGTGGTCCCTCTAAATATATATATATAAGAGGAAGGAAAGGATATGTTAGGTTGAGTGGTCCCTCTAAATATATAGAT